CAGGCTCCCCGCTGAGCAGGGAGCCTGATGCGGGACTCGATCCCGGGACTCCAGGATCATGACCTGAGCCGAAGGCAGTCGCTTAACCAACTGAGCCACCCAGGCGCCCGTGGTTTTGTTTTTTTTTAACTCTGATTTCCACTATGCCCACCAAACTTCCAATCCCAGATCAAAGTCTCTCTCCTCTTATCTCCTGTGTATAACCAAAATTAGCTGATATTTGCAAAAGAATGTTAATAAAACACTGCAGAAAACTAGGAGAATCTTACTGAAAATGCAAATAGCAATGAACGTTCAAGTTTCCAAAACGTAGGTTTCTGGCGCTAAGCTGAGCCTTCCTCCCCACCGCCACTCTTACCCCCAGTGTCCTCGCCTCCTGGACTCCTGCTGGCCTCCATCCCTCTCCAAACACAACCCTTCCCTCCTCTGAGAACCCAGGCAGGAAAACAGAAAAGTGGTTTCTTACGCACACTCACACCTCCCCGCCCGCGCTGGTGCCCCCGGGGGTCTCTGGTCTCTCCGGCCCCAAGCTCTGGACTCCAGGCTCTGCAGAGACGATTTCATGCACACCTGTCACTGCGTGGGTAAGCATGACATGCCTGCCACAATAATCCATACACAGAGCAGCTACATGCGTGTTCCCTGCAGACCCACTCTGGTATACCACAGAATACAGCAAAAACTTGAGAAATGGCCCCTTGGATTCACATCCAGTGAAAAATGTCAAGGTCTCCAGCCAAGAAGTTTAAGTCTACTCTCCCCTTCACACTCTCTCAGGGATCCCCACTTCCAGCACACACCGGCCTGAATCCCTATCCTCAGAGTTCAGCTCTTAACCTGAAGGCAGAGACCATGGCCACTGGGATGACTATGTTTGCATAACAAAAAAAAGAAAGAAAATGAGTATTGACATGACCAAATGTTTATTTGGATTAATTAATTCATGTGTAATGTCATATAATTCCCTAACGTTAAATTGCACTTAGATGTTTAACAGATCACCTTTACTGAAAAGAATCAGATTCCGTGGAATGGAGACCGTCCTGGAAAATCTGGGATGTGTGGTTGCCGTAGTAATTGTTGCCTTCCAGAACAGATCCATGCCTGGCTAATTACAGCCTTCTATTTTTAAACTCATCTCCATTCTTGTTCCCCACCCCAACATTTCTCACACTACTTCAGCAATAAAATACTATTACTGTTATCTGTACAGCCTGTGCTGGTCTCAAAATAACTTGTTTCCTGTCAGGCCCTGCAAGAGACAGGAGCTCTGGGGTCTGCCCACCACCCCCCGGAGCCAGGCCCAGGGAGGTCCTCTGGCAACAAGCCCCCCAGGGAAGGGACAGCAGAGCAGCACTGGGGCCGACCTGAAGGTCAGTCCCGAGCCTATCAGATTATGTCAGGACATCACGCAGCCGGATCAAAGCCCCAAAACCTGCAACCTGAGCAAAAGCTTCCAGCAGTCTTCCACTCTCTGGCTTGTGACCCAAAGCCTGGCTGCCTGGGATCCTGCTAACTCTGTCTGAAGGTCTGCCCTTTCCACCACAAGCCTGTGGGTACTGTGGAAATGGATGAAGACCCCCCAGTGAGAGCAAGCAAAGTCTCTTATTTATTCAGAGTGTGCTGTAGCTAGGGAATCAGCCACCGTCCCTGGCTCTGTTCGTTGCTAGGTCTGTTGTAATAAAGTCCCGCAAACCGAGTGCCTTAGATGAAATGGACACTCTCGCAGTTCTAGAGGGCAGAAAGCTGCAGGCATGGTATCTGAAGAGCCACGCTCCCTCTGAAGGTGCTAGGGAGAATCTACCTGTTCCAGGCCTCTCCCCTAGCTTCTGGGGGCTTGCTGGCACTCTTTGGCGTTCCTTGACCTGTAAATGCCTCACCCAGGCCTCCGTCTTCAGGTCCACATGGTGTTCTCCCTGTGCGCACATCTGTGTCCAAATGTTCCCCTTTTATAAGGATCGTAGTCATACTGGTTGAAGGACCCACTCTACTCCAGGATGACCTCATCTTAACTATTACATCTGCAGTGATTTTATTTCTAAATAAGGTCATATTCTGAGATGCTGAGGATTAGGAGGTCAACATATGAGTGTCTGGGGGACACAACCCATAACACTTGCTCTGGCAGAGACTCAAAACCAAGCAAAGCAGGGAGGGGGAAAGCTTTATAGTGCACAAGAGAGAAGGCTCTATGTGGGCCCTGATGAGAAGCTGTGGGCATGGGGAAGCTAACTAGAAGCAGAACATCCTATGTGATTGGTCATGAGTGCATATTTAGCTTTTTCATGTTGGTTGAGTTAGAAGTGGAGGCAAAATTCAGGTAAGCTAGCAGTCATTGACCTAGTCCTGGCTGTTTGGGGCTGGTTGCTGCAGAGGCTCTATGTTTATATATACCGTCTGTCCGTTGTCCATTCTGTGTTCATTCTCTCAGTGCAAATGCTACCTCCTGCAGGCCTCAGGGTGCTGCTGGGGCTGGTGACCTGGAAAGATCTGCAGAGAGGATCTGGAGCAGGTGGTCTGCAAGACCCAGCCCTGGAAAGGCTCAGTGCCCCCAAGAGCAGACCCACGATGGGGCAATCCCACAGTGCAGACCTGCTCAGGCCGTTACCCAGAGCAGAGGCCAAACACCCAAGGGCCCCTTCGGCAATCTTCTCTTTCTCTTTCCACCAGGCTGAGCACAGCTGTGTAGTGGGAAAGTGTAGACACACTGACCCTAGAGCAGCTGTCCTCAGGCTTTTAGGTCTTAGCACCCCATTCAGGACTCCAAAGAGCTTATGTTTATGTGGGAGATAGCTATCAATATTCACCACATTAGAACTGAGAAATTTTTAAAATAGTAAACCCATTACATGTTAATGTAAATAACTTACTTTTATGAAAAATAACTATTTTCCAAAAGAAAAAATTGCAAGGATGGCATGATTTTAAATTTTTGCAAATCTCTTCAATGTCTGGCTCAACAGAAGTCAGCTAGAGTCTCATGTCTGCTTCTGCATTTAAACTATTATGTGTCACACATCATGTAGCCTCTGGAAAACCCCACATTACACTCATGTGAACAAAAGCTTATAACATGGTTGAATTATCATGAAAAATACCTTGACTTTGCAGAACCACTGAAAGGGTCTGAGGGGCCCCCAGAATCCCCAGGCCCCTGCCATAAACTCATGCTTAGGGTTACTGAATCAGGGATCAAGCCCACGGCAAGCCTGCAGGGAGAAGGGCCCCTGGCGATATGGGAGGAGGATTATAAGCCATTCCAGTCAAATAGACTCAAATCTCACAAATTAGGAAAATGCCCCAAACCTACGCAAAGAGATAAGAAGTTTTAGACCTGAGTTAAAGTCAAGGACTTTCAATATCTTAACTTCCCACTTGAAAATGCAAAGGCAAAAAGAGCAGAAATGAAAACAAATGATGTTTGTTAGTTCATTTTTTCCTCCCCTAGTTCCAAGATTATATGCAATTAGAAACTGATTTAACTGATGGATGCTGAGGTGCATCAGCACCCCCAGCCACCCAGAGAATAGAGCCCTGATTAGACCCGACATGGCCCATTGAGCACAGGGTGGCGAGCAGATCAGCCACAGAATAACCATGTGGGAGTGTCTTTCTTTTCCAGTCCTCGCTCTTGGTCCAGTCTTCTCTCCTTCTCAAAATCCTCTTGGCATTTTCTTTTTCCTTCCCCCTCTGACTCTAATATGTACCCCAAATTGTGGTTTACCCTGACATTTAATATGCATAAAGCAGCCAGCCACTTATTAGAGTAAATTAAAACTAGAGGCCTTCTTTAAAATAGTTGGTTCTATGTTATATAAATTTTACCTCATTAAAAAATATATGAATGCCCTTCTTTTAACCCAAGCTTATTTTTGAAATTTTTTAATCCTATAAAAAGTATTTCAGCCATTAGTTTAAATAGGGAAGAGTGATTTGGAACTTCTGAGTCCATAAAATATGACATAGGATATATGTGTTAATTTTTAAAGAAAAGTTAGTGAGGGGCGCCTGGGTGGCTCAGATGGTTAAGCGTCTTCCTTCGTCTCAGGTCATGATCCCAGGGTCCTGGGATGGAGCCCACGTCCGGCTCCTGGCTCAGCAGGGAGCCTGCTTCTCCCTCTGCCTCTCCCCCTGCTCACGCTCTTTCTCTCTCTTTGTATCTCTGTGTCTCGAATGAATAAATAAAATCTTTAAAAAAAAAAGAAAGAAAGAAAAGTTAGTGATTCATGTAATGTTTCCAGAGACTATGTTCCAAATTATTTAAAAACATAAAGAACAACAAGTTAAATATGGACACAACCATAGGGAATCAGAGATACTCAACTCAGTTCTCAAAATGCGGGCTTATGTCTCCAGAAATCACCTGCTTGACCAACCTGTCACTACAAAATAAATAAATAAATAAATGTCCAAGCAGGGCATCTATCTCTATTCCAAAATCACGAAGACATTCATAATGAATCGTTGAGGAAAGTAGATCTATACAAGGATAAAATTAGAAATTGGAAATAATGGCCACCTCTTGCTACAATAACACCCCATAACAAACAACCTCAACACCCAGTATCTTTTCATTGAGTTTTATCATGGTGTTGCAGGTTTGTTGCGCTGTGGCTGATCCAGGCTGCAGCTTGGGGTGTGGTGTCTTCCCTGTGTTCTTTGCCTGATAAGTAGCAGGAGGACAAGAGGCATGAAGAACCCCACAGGCACATTTAAGGCCGTTGCTTGCATCACATTGGCTAACATGCCTTTGGCCAGAGCCAGCCTACCTGGTTGCACCCGACATCAATGGGTACATTGTGTCCACAGTGAGAGGGGAATTGTTGCTGAATGATAATCCATCAACTTGGGGCAGAGAGAGAGCCCAGATAATATTTGTAGAGCAGTATCTTCCAGAAAACTTGAACAACATGTTGCTTTGATTTAAAGTCTGGTATGGAAGAGACTCTGTAGGGGAACAGTTCAATCAGATTCTTCTAAAATAAAAGCATCTTTAAAAAATGAGATTTATTTCTAACTCTGCATTTTGGAACACATATATTAAATTATATCAAGTAGAAAGAATGTACTTTTTATAAGAAAAACTCTAAATCAAGTCATCTTGCCTGAGGACAAATAGTGAATAGTGGCCATCTTCACTCATTCATTTTTCATCCACACTTGAGTGTATTGGCTGAAAGCCGTGTGCCAGGTGCTATGCTGGGGCTGGGGGGGTACAAGGATGAAAAAGATGCCCTGCCAAGAGTACTTAGTCCAGTTGAGGAAAAAAAAAAGAAAGAAATGTTCATAAATAACTGGAACTTGAGACACAAAGTGACAAATGCCGATTTTTAACACATAGATAAAATGCTCTGGGGGTTTAGCAGAGGGAGCATTACTTCCAGATGCTGAATAATGATAATATAATGGTTGACATGATTGCAAGAAACTCACAGAACACTCAAATCAGCAGATAATCAGCCCAAGCTCTTTATTTTACAGAAGAGGAAACGGGCCCAGAGAGATGAAGTCAGTCATGTAGAGGGCGAGAACTTTTCCCTCCTTCCCTTCTAGGCTCTTGGCTGGTCTAATAATTAAACTGATATAAGACAGGAGATATTAATAGGAGAAAATCAAATAAAGTTTAATAACATGTATACCTCCTAGTTACATGGGAGAGACCCAGGAAAACCAAGTAACTCTCATAAATGACCCAAGCCGTCACTTTAAATTCCATCTTCAGCTAAAGACAAAAGATGCTGGGTTGGTGGGGGGAGTCAATTATGGAGGGTGGCCAGGAAAAGCACAGTGAACTGGCTTAGGCTGTTATGCAGATTTAAGTCCCTGCCAACTCCACTGATTGAACAGTTTCTGGAGATTTAGCCCTCCCCCTCATCCTGGTACCTGGAGGGAGACACCTTACACATGGAGATTTCCTGCAAACATGCAAATGTTTCTTATAAAAGGGTAACTTCTACTTGGTTTTCAGAGCTCCTCCCAAGTTGGCTGCTTGTCAAAAATAACCAGCCTAAAACACTCCCTGTGCCAAAGAGGCACATTGTGGGGGGGGGGCGCATATTTTGCTCTCCTTCAGTCCCACCTTTGAAACTTTGAAGAATTTTCACAGTCCAGAAGCTGAGTTGATAGATTACTTCCTATCTCACTGAACCAGCCACTCAGTCCTGGGAACAGGTCAGTTCAGGTAAACAGCTGTGTCTCATTCCAGGAGGCCGTCCTAAAGGTGAGTTCCCAAAGTTAGGAGAAATCAGGTATTTAATATGGCATTTCTATGGAAACAAAAGAAAAACAAAGGTTAGTGATTGGAACAAATTATAAATCAGTTTTTGAGCCCGGGGGCAGCCAGTCAAGAACATTTCTAGATGTCAGGCTAGAAGCATCTTCAGATAGTGAGAGCAGGTGGTAGCAATCTGACAGGTCTTCTTCCAGAAGGGTTTGCAGTTTGAATGTCTCTGGTGATTGTTCTGATCTTCAAGAGGCATGACGATTGTCTAACATGACCTGTTGTGTTGATTTCTCTGAAGTTTATAGCAAGTCGTTTATATTCAGTTTGCGGGACTTTTTGGGCAAAATTTTGTTCTTAGCGATTCCAAGTCAAAAGGTGGGAGAAAGTTGGAAATGTTGGTTTGGAGATTTGTGGCCAGATATTTGAGGAAACTGGAAGAATTCAGGATCCAGTCCAGTTTACAGGTAAATAACAAAACCTCAAAGTCAATGAACAGAATTGGAATTTAATATCCACCAGTTGTATTAATAGTTCGTATTGAAACATTATTTTTCTCTCTAAAATTAACCCATTTCTACCAAAGATCATTACAGTAAAATATATTTGTTTGCAAAATTAGTCTAGTCTCAATAAACTTGACCTGGTTATTTATATAAGTCCAGTAAGAATAACAATCATATAGACTCTTAATCTGCTTCACTGGAACTTTTCATAAGGAACCTCAAATGGGACTTTTAAAAGCCTCTCAAGACCAGGAAGACAAACCAAGGACTTGCCAGACTCACCTGCAATACCTATAGATTTGGGTGAATTCCTCTCTTCTTAAGGATTCCAAAATATCCTGAGGTTTCTGCACTTGCCATGAAGTGACCTTCCTTAAGCACCTGGCAAAACTGCTGGGAAGCCTGTAAGCAAGGTACAAGGCTGTTTTTTCAAGGGACTTTATTACCTCCATAAAGTCAACTTTAGTTCCTTAAAGCTGTCTGGTATATCCGAGTATGTACATCTCTCTCAAATATGACAATCTAGTCAAAGCCTTGGTAATATAACCAATTTCCAGTTGTGTCCTGTTACAAGGAGAACAGGTTCTTATTGAACTTATGCAAATAATTATATTGCCATAAAAATAAGAATACTCACTGAGAGTTTCTGATTTCTGGAGCAATCTGGTAGGGAGAAAAAGATAAATGTTTCATCTTTGTACACAAAGGTATATTTAAGCAAGTTGCTCTAAGACATAGGCAGCTAAATCAATGGTATGATCTTAAAATTATCAGATACCTGCATTCAAGAGTTCTTCCCATGAGTCTCACTAAAGAGGAAGCACTTTTGCAAAAACATCACAGTAAAACAATTACTGTAAATGGCAAAAGATTTTTAAATGGCCACAGTTAAAGATTTGATGAGAGTTCATTATAATACAATTGACAAAGAAATTTGCTTATTTCTATAACATAAAACATTTCAAATTAATAATAGAATTACAAGTGATAACATTGTACCGGGACATACCAGAATTCTAGGAATTTCATAAAATTTCTGGAACACCAATGTGAATAACATATATCCACACAAACATCACAGACCATTATGAAACAATATAAAAGATTTCAAAGGCAAATACAGAAAGTTATATAGCTGTGAGCAAAACATAGCTCTTAATATTGAGAAGACCCAGTTTTCTTAAGCAATCAAAGACCGGATGGTAAGGAGCACAGGAAATCATTCTGTTAAAACACAAAATCTTTGCTTTTTAGGCAGATTACTTAAAAGGTAAAGAAAAACAATCTCTTATGAGGAGGAGATCAATGGTCCATGAAAATTTGTACTTTTAGTCAATGAAAGAAAATCAAGTTTTAGCTTTACATAAATACACTACAGATTTTAAAGCTTAATTTTATAGTCCTTATCATAAACTCATTACATTTTAGCCAATTTGACCACACAAAGTAAAATTCTCTTTCTTTCCCTAACTTTCTATACTAGTTTTACTTTAGGACAATTTTACTTTCTTTTCCCTTTAACAAAAGTTCATCTTCATATCTCATACATTTTCTTATCCAAAAACACATCTTACTTTCCTTGCATACAGAGTTGTTTTCCTTATTACCTCTAGTAGCTTTAATTACATATGTTAGAATTCTTAACCCTTAGAAACTTTCATTTCTAGCAAAACTAAGAAGTAAGCAGTTGTGAACAGCCTGTTACACCCACATTTTTTAGATTGGCAAATTTATGAATACACTTCATAATTTCTAGAAGCATATGCCTTTTAAAAAAATAGTACAATCTTTCAGGGTGGCACAAGGCATGTTTACTAACAGACACAAATATCTTCAGTGCCTCTGTAATAAGAAGCCAAAAATAGATAAACTTATGTTCAGTAAATGGTCTAGATATTCAATGAATTTCTCATCATTTAACTTAACTCAGCACAACTTTAAAGTTCCAAGTTACCAAAGAGAATTGAAATTATTTTTAAGTACACATACCATAAAATATAATTATTGTTAAAAAGTTCACCTAAAAACTCTTTTCCCACTTATAGCTCTCTAACTCATTCGCTCCCAATGATGACACTTAGATTACTCACAAAAACCTCACAAGATATTAGACAAAGTCAGCCATCATCCCAAATTATTCTTCTTGCTGATAAGTTTTGAAAGAGATAACATGAATTTGATTAGTCAACACAGGCAGTTGTTTATCTGCATTACATTTAATGTCCTCACAAAGACACAATTATTTTAATTAAACTAACAAACTTCAACTAGCTTCCATTTACCGAAGATTATCCCACATCACATGAACTTGAAAAATATTTGGCTTGGTTTCTATATTTCTGAGAATTTTAGAATGCCCAATCCTTAATTTATATAAGTGCTTGTTTGTTTCAAAGCCAATTAAATAGAACTCTTTACAAATGAATTTTGGCAATACCATTCAGAGGTAGAAAAATGTCACACACCCGTAACATAGATATGTAGATGCACATGAACATATAGACACAAATTTTACAGCTTTTGTTTTAAAATTTTAACCATGAAATGGGTATAATGCAAAACTCACTCATTTATGAAAGAGCAGTTGGATCCAAACTGTGTTTCTGGCAGATGGAATAAATTAAGGTTACCTGTTGCGATGGCTAATGCTTTCTCTACTAATACTTCTGGAGAAGACATCTAAGATTTTTCATTAGCCCAATTTCCAAATATCTCCCTTTTTCTCTCTTTCTTCTGGTGAGAAACATCTCACTAAAGTTTGAATTTCAAAGAGTGGCTCTTTCGGTCCTAGACAAGATGGGGATAGAAAGTCTACATCACAGAGACATGGGTGGCTCAGTTGGTTAAACTGCCAACTCTTGGTTTCTGCTCAGGTTGTGATCTTGTGATAGTGGGACCCAGCCCCTCATTGGGCTCCATGCTCAGCATGGAGTCTGCTTGAGATTCTCTCTCCCTCTCCCTCTGCTCCTCCATCTGCTCGTGCATGTGTGTGTGTGCACACATATACTCTCTCTCCAAAATAAATAAATAAAATCTAAAAAAATAAAATAAAATGACTCCTCCCCCCCCAGAAAAAGTCTACATCACAAAGGCACAGAGAGAGTATCCAAGTTTTCTCCAACATTTGGAGTTTTGGGGGTATATTTGCGTATAATCAGAGGTCTAGGATAATTTAAAATTTTTCCTTCTTTTTCTTAAGTGCAGGACAATTCTGTTTCCAATGTCCCAGTCAGTGTCTATGAACATTGTGAGACGAATATGTGAGGTCTGGGGATTGGTAAAGATGGGGGGGGTTGAATTGCTTCTAGAGCCACATTTCAGGTTTTGTAGATATTTGCAAGACAAAGCAGTTGCTTCCTGTTCCCCTCAAAATGGAGTGGTAGCCTGAATGATATCAAAAGAGCGATATGCCCACCCAACTACATTTCTTTTGTTTCTTTATCTCAGGGAGATTTCCAGCTAAGATAGAAATTAAAAGTTTTTTTTTTAATGTTCTAGAAATTCAGGGTTTAATGCGTTGTCTTGAAAAAGCCTGTATAGAGTGTTTAACAAAGGTTTTCAGATGCTCTCCTTCTTTCTGAGTGCATTATTCAACATTAGACCAATTTATTTTAGGGGGAAAGCCTCTAATATTGCTCCTATCAAGCCTTGAATATGAGCATCCTGCTGAGCCATTTCCAGGTCATTTGTAGGAGGACCTGAGAGGATCTGGCCATCAGTATCCTCGGAGCGGGAGGTGTTCCCCAGGGGGCCATCGGGTTTGCCAGATTACCATAGTTAAATCATGGGAGGAAAGAGCAACCCTTAGCAGCCACTCCAGGTCCCAGTGAATGGGGTGGTGAATGGCCACTATTGTTTCCAACTCCTCTCTGAAAGTAGAGGTAAAAGGCTTTATAGTTTAGGAGATCTGTTGCTGTCCATATGACATCAAGTCTTGGTGGTGGGGGTCCAGATACATCCATCAAGAACACTGTATGGGAAGACCTGAAGCTGGCAGAGCCTGATTACAGACCCCTGGGAAGTAGGAGGAATTGTAACAGCAAAGCGAGCCCTACCACCCTTCTTGAGTGCTTCTGCTAAAGTCACTTCCTGGAGTTTAGTATTTACATGAGTATCGGTATACCTTGAGCCTGGAGAGAGGCCCTGCTTTCTATAAATCTTATGAGGAAAGGGAGATTAAAACAGGCAGCTGGGTGTTTATGGATTTTCTGGGGAAGTTATAGGAGTCTTGGGATATAAGGGAATTTGCTGAGGTGATAGGGCTGGATTTGAGAGGGGGTTTAGACCAGGGGCTCAGAGAATCAAGAGATCTTCTGGTGGGTCAAGGAGAGGGATTTGGGAATAAAGGGGGTGTATAGGAAGGAGGAGAAGGGGATTTACATGAGATGTGGATGCTAATTTTTGTTCTAAGTCTCATTTCTGTTCTTCCATCTTTTTAAGGGAGTCCCTAAGGCAGCTGCTCTACTTCTTTGTGTCCACTTTTAGTTTGGTCTTTCCATAGGTACCAACAAAACAATTGTTTAGGATAAGAGTTCTCTAAAAAATTTTTTCAAATATAGAAGTTTGTCCAATAAAGATTCGTCATCTGGTCTTCGACAAGTAGGATCATCCTTTTTTTTAAGTAGGATCATCTATTAATCTTGATAGCACCTGAAACCAATGAGCCTTTTAACCGCTCAGCCACGGATGCAGGAGGCAGCCCAAAGGAGAGGGCAAAAGATGCAGCCCTCACAAGATCCAGACAGTGAGTAAGATCTCAGCGTCAGCCTCAGAAAGCAAAGATGTCACAGGCAGTAAGAATGGTGAGTGCAAACAGTGTCTCTGGTGTCCCATGAGAAGGTGAGAGGTCTCCAATCACAGACCCACTAACCTGTGACACCAGGCAAGCACGACCGAAGTGGGACTTTTCCAGCACTCAGCAAAGGTTGAAACAATGGCCTCTTACAGACAAGACCCCTTAAGACAAACTCCCCTGAGAGCTGATATAGTCAGATAAAGAGAACTGACACCAGCCACCAGTCCAAGTTGTTACTTGGCTAAAATCAGGGGTTCCCATGCCCCTCCTCTTTTCAGATCCAGTCGAGTCGACCATCCGCCAAATGCATCCCCTGGCCGGCAGAGACCAGAGAGAACATTATCACTGGTCACAAAGCCAAGATCCCAAGACATAGAACAAGACAAAGGGAAACCTCATCCGGCTTCTCTTATATACACGTTAACAGCATTAGCTACGGCTTAGGTCTCTTGGAGTCAAACTAAAAGCTCAGAGGGATGTGCCTCTGGGTTGAGGACTGGGTGGTGTTTAATGGAGTACCTCTTTGCACAGAAATTTTCTTGAGATTGGTGGATGACCTAGTGTCAGTCTAACCCATTCAATGACCAAATTATCCTAACATGAGAGTCTTAGAGTTAGGTGGTACAGGCTCCAGCAGCTCTTAAGTGCTTGACCTGTGCCCACCAATCTCGTAGCTTGGCTCCTAAGATGTCCCTTAGCAACAGCATTTACCTCTCGTGCACATTAATCCACAGCAGAGTTTGTCTAAACAGACATGGGTCTGGTGAGGACCATGAACCTGTCATTCTGTGAGGCTGGCTCAAACAGCAGGCCATGGTAGGGCCCGAGCCTACGTTCTGCCCTATGGTTTTCCTCCTCATGACAAATG